CGGAGAGTTTCACTCTGTGTGTGTGGGGCGGAGCAGGCAGCTCTCTCAAACACTGCAGGGTGTGTGAGAGTTGCATTACTCTGCCCCGATCACAGATAGCACCGTCCTCGGAGACACAGCTGCTAAGAACAATGCATGGCGGAGAAAACTGTTTGCTCGAAAGCGTGGTTACCATTCACTTGAGCTGATGCCACAATGGTCCTTCTGTGCAGCTTGTTTGCATCTGAGAGCGGAGATTAGAACAATTTGTCAGACGTCTAGATAAAAAGTACACAACTTTCCTCAGTTTCTTCATTAAACATGTCTTTCCTTTATACTGACTGCAATACCACAGGTCAGGTCAGGTTGGGGAGCATACGCTTATGCAGCACGTTGCCGCACCCACCACACAGTAAAACTCCTCGGAATCCTGGCCGGCGATCCCACAGGCAGATACATGGTCCAGTCCCACTCTCCATAAATGGCCATCCATCTGCCGCAGCCAGGTGTGACGTGGGCATCCCCTTAGCCTGGTCCAGCCACATGGGTCCTCAGCAATGAGGATCCTGCAAGCCGAATCACCCTCAGGGAAATGCGCCACATGGCCGTAGTGTCATAACTGATGCTCCCTTACAAGGCTGATAATGTGCCTCATTCGGGACTCCTCTAGCAACCACTCATTCGACACAAAGTCAAACCAGCAGTACTAGGGGTGCACCGATCGATCGGCGCACCGATCGATCGGCCTCGATCACGTTAATTTGAGGGGATCAGAAATCGACCATATTCCCATGAGATCCACCGATCTTAGTTATATGCTTTTAACTCTTTGGGGTCGAGTATGTCGTCGACGACATCGCGTACTTTTCGCGTACTTTTCGCGTCTATTTCAGTTTATAAATATCTCGCTGAAATCTTAATGTATAATCATGAAAAAAACGCTGGCTAAATCCGTAATCTGTCTTCTTTTCAAAACGTCCATTGTCGGAAGTATTAAAGTTTTTTTAATTAGGTTAAATCGGCAAAAAAGTAAACCATGTCATCTTACTTTGTTTTACCTGCATCGGGGGCGTGTAGTACCGCTCTCACCCGAAGATCGCTATTCACATTCTAAATAGCCGCATTAGCGCGTATTCAAATCGCATTCGCATGGTAATTTGATTAACAGCGCAACGGTGAAACGCGATCCAGATACATCCCCTTCAGCGCCATAAAAGGGGGTTGGGGACGTGGCCAGGTGACAATGGCTCATTCATACACATGAAAGTTGCTACATATTCAATGAAAGGAGCCAGAAATAGTTACATGAGTTAGGTTTTTCTTATTTATTTATCCAAATTAATGTTGCATCTACACCATTTAGTCATCTTCATGTAGCCAAGACTTTGGTGATCAGATATCTGGGATCAAAACAAACTGCCAGCATTGCTTACTATGTACTTTTATAATGTTTCTGCAAGTGTTCCAAACTGCATTTTGCAATGTCTATACTTTGATGTCAAATTTCAAACTTAACAAAAATCTGACATATTTACAATATATATTAAAATAAAGATGAGTGTAATGGCAAAACAAATATATAAGAAATAATTTATTTGCCATGAATTAAGTGTGATGAAATGTGTGATCATGCCCCAGTCAGTGAAAGTGTGTTTCCTACCCCTAGGCCCCAGAGGGTTAAATCAGCCTTTTCTCCCATTCCCGAGAGAGGTGCAGTGCAGGCTGCCTCCCTCCCTATTTTTTGGACAAGTGTGTCATAACAGCTATATATATATATTTTTTTTACAAAATTAGAGAAATTAAAGTCTGGAAGAAAAAATATGATTTTGTACTTCAAACAGCAATGCTCATTTATATGTTCATTTATATTTGAGGACACTACCTCATGTTTTGTGAGTATTCATATCAATTTACTCAATAAAAATGGAAACATTGAAGTAACTGTCTTTTAGTTATGAAAGAAACAAGATCGGCAAAAAAAAATCGAGATCGGCAGGTAAGGTTGCCTAAGGATCGGTGATCGTTGATCGGCCAGAAAACTGCAATCGGTGCACCCCTAAGCAGTACCCAAGGATTCTCCGAAGAGACACAGTACTGAAGGAGTCAAGTCTTCATCTCAGGTCACTCATGTCTCACAGCCTTACAGCAAGACAGGGAGCACCAGGACTCTAAAGACTTGCAAAGATATCGGGAACGCCACACACCCCTTTCCAGTGACCTCATGACCCCCCATGCTCTTCCAATCCATCTGCTGACTTCATAGGAAGAGTCACCAGAGACATGAATGTCGCTGACAGACAACCAAGTGAAAAAGATTGAGAACCATTGAACTAGACTAAAGCAGCTGATAATTGTGCCAAATTAAGACAACTGAACAAAACCGTGTACTGAAGTATTGGGAAATTTGTGTGAAGAAATGAAAAATGTTCTGCTGTGCAGAAGTGACATTATGGTTTGGGAATCACACTAGCAGTTTAGCAAAAGTTAGGGTTAGTAGTCGCTGACAGACAACCAAGTGATCACGGATCCTGTTAAGGATGACCCTAGCAAGGACCTTACCTGGCACTGAGAGCAGTGTTATCCCCCTGTAGTTGCTGCAATCCAGGTGATCACCCTTCCCTTTCCAGATATGGACCATAAGTGCCGTTTTCCAGTCAGTTGGGATGATGCCTGACTCCCAAATGGAAGCAAGAATTGCCTGCAATGCCAGGAGGACAGCCTTACCACCAGCCTGGAGAAGTTCACCCCCGATACCACAGATCCCTGCGGCCTTCCCTACCCCTAGCTGATTCACCACCCTTGCAATCTCAGTGAGACTGGGTGGTTCACAGCTGATCGGAGAGTCAGCTTCGAGAACCATGGACCCAGAGATCTCCAACATCCTAGCTGGAGGGTCAGCTTTAAACAACTGCTTAAAGTAGCCAGCCCAGTGGGTCACAACTGCAGTGTCATCTTTAAGGACCGTTCCATTACTCACCCTGAGTGCAAGCCTCTGAGGAACAGATTGAGATGTGCGTAATGCTTCGATTCCTCTGTAAGCAGGATGTGGGTCACTAGACCACAGATGGTATGTCACCTGCTCACAGATTCGTGTTACAAACAGCTACTTATCTGCCCTCAGAGCTCTCACAGCCATCCTCCTCAGTTCCCGATACAGGCTGGAGTTGCTATCAAGTCATGCGCTGCAACTCCTCTCAATAATATCCAGGATGCCTTGTGAGATGAAACACCTCCTTCTGGAAACACTGGAAACACCAACATAAAGGGTGGATGAAACTCGGTTGCCCCAGAAGTTCACTACTATCTCCACTGTCTTTAGAGCATTGAACTCCAAATTATTCTGTCTGTACCAGGTCACCAGATGGTGAATTTCCCTCTTGTAGATGGATTCATCCCCACTAGAGATGAGCCCAATGAGGGTGGTGTCGTCCGCAAACTTCAGTAGCTTGACAGACTCATGACTGGAGGTGCAGCTGTTGGTGTACAAGGAGAACAACAGGGGTGACCGGACGCAGCTTTGAGGGGAACTGGTGCTTATGGGTCAGAGATGTGCTTTCTCAGCTTAACATGCTGCTTCCTGTTGGAAAAGAAGTTGGTGATCCACCTGCAGGTGGAGTTTGGCACACCCTGCTGGGAGAGCTTGTCCTGGGATGATCTGGGATGACCGCATTAAATGCAGAACTGAAGTCCACAAAAAGGATTCTGGCTTAGGATCCAGGAGAATCCAAGTGTTGGAGGATGAAATGAAGACCCATGTTGACAGCGTTGTCTGTGAACCTATTGGCTCTGTAGGCAAACCGCATTGAGTGCAGGAGAGAGACAGTGTCAAATTTGAGATGAAACTGTACAAGACGTTCAAATAACTTCTTTACTGCTGAGGTCTTGGAGATGGTTCTGTAGTCATTCAGTCCTGTGATCCTGGGCCTTTTGGGGATGGGAACGATGGTGGAGGTTTTGAAGCAGTCTGGCATATGGCAAGTCTCCAGGGAGGTGTTGAAAATGTCTGTGAGTACTGGAGACAGTTGGTCAGCACAATGCTTCAGTGTGGCAGGGGAGACAGAGTCTGGGTTCTGACGCTTGAGCATCTTGTTAACGTGCCACTAAGAAAGAATGAGGGTTGTTGTGGTGGAGGGAGGGGGCAGTTTGGAGCCCCCCTTGTAGTGGTCCCAGCCCCCATTGTGGTGATGGATGGTTGAGTGGGGGTGCCGGTGGACTGATGCTGATGGCTGTGCACACTAGGGGTGGTGTCAGGAATGTCCCTTTGTTTTTCAAATTGACAGTAGAATTTGTTCAGTTCGTTGGCAAGGCTCAGGTGTTTGATGGAGTGGGGGGTTTTGGGTTTGTAGCTGGTGATTTGAAGTCCTTTCCAAACGGAAGCTGAGTTGTTCGATGTGAATTTCTGCTCCAGTCTCTCAGAATACAGGCATTTAAGAACATAAGAACTATACAAACGAGAGGAAGCCATTCGGCCCATCGAGCTCGCTTGGGGAGAACTTAACTAATAGCTCAGAGTTGTTAAAATCTTATCTAGCTCTGATTTAAAGGAACCCAAGGATTCAGCTTGCACTACGTTATCAGGAAGACTATTCCATACTCTGACTACACGCTGTGTAAAGAAGTGCTTCCTTAAATCCAGTTTGAAATGTTCTCCCGCTAATTTCCACCTATGGCCACGAGTTCTTGAATTTAAACTAATGCTGAAGTAACTATTTGGTTGAACAGCATCCAAACCTGTTAGAATCTTATATACCTGGATCATGTCCCCCCTTATTCTCCTTTGCTCGAGGCTAAACAGATTCAGCTCAGCTAACCTCTCCTCATAAAACATTCCTCTAAGACCAGGAATCATTCTTGTAGCCCTACGTTGCACCCTTTCCAAGGCAGCAATGTCCTTTTTAAGGTATGGTGACCAAACCTGCACACAATATTCTGGGGTGGGGTCTTACTGACTTCTAATTTAAATTCTAATTTAACATTTAACCCCAATTAAAATGCAGAAAAACCCAAGCAAAAACACTTCATCATTTACAGAAAGATTTTTTTTTTTTAATCTGAGAAACTGTCACCGTTACAAGCTGAAAAAAATACAGCAACTTATCACAAGGTCAAAGGTAACAAATAAGTTAGCAAAATATTCACATGGTCAGTAGAACTGATAGTAGGTAGCAGAAAAAAATACAGATAGCAGAGAAAAGCATTTCCTTTTAACACGAACATGCAGCGTCTTCCTGAAGCAGACTCTCCTTTGCAAACAAAACCACATTTTAAAAAAGTCAGTTTAATTAAGCCCAGTTCATATTCTTCTGTGTACAAGACGGGATAAACCATGCGTTTTGGCACTCTATAGCTAAACATTGCAATGTCCATTTCTATGTACAAAATAACTGCTTCCAGGTAATACCCATTCATCTTCATTGTTCAGATTCATTAGACTTTTAAACACCTCACCGTTGTAGGATTTTTATCTTTAAGACACACAAGGCCTTTTCCAATAATTTTACTAATTTTACCTTAGTTCATTTGTACGTCTAATGCTATGGGTATTGCTACTGTTTTTTGTAAACTGTAAACTCGTGATTTGTAGTAGTTTTTTTTTTTTTAAATCTTTTTGTGAACAAGTAGAGATTGATAGCGGTGTGGCATGACATGGCACTGTACCGGCCGGGTAATATGCCCTCATTCTGCCCTGAGATCGATCGAGCTGAATGATGGGCTGTGTTCTGTCATGCTGTCAAGGCTGTAGTAGAGTGAGGCAGGGCATTCCGGACACAAACCCAAGTCCAGAAAAATACATAAAGCCTGCATCTACTGTTTACGCCTCACGATGATGGAAGGAAGGGGGCAGCTGTTATTTAGTAAAATGACTGATTTAATTGTTTTCTTGACATGCTGATTATGGATTTAGAAATTCAATGACATTCTGTCCATCTGTGGCACTGAACATAAAACTAATTTAACAATGATTTTATGTCACTCACTGATATGCTAAAATGCGTCTGTCTTACAAGCGTTACTAAAGATGTTTTTAAATTAAATCCAAGGTAAAATGTACAACAGAAGGAATTCAGTTTCCTTCTTCATTGGACAGAATAATCTAACGTCACAAATGCTGTACAGACGTCAACACAGGAAATTATGCCCACAGCATTTTGTGGTTTTCAGGAAAAAAAACACAAACAAAAAACAACAATAACATATTGACCGTTATAGTCCCTCCCCCCACAAAACCAGTACAACTGGTCATATTAGATGCTAAGTAGTAAACACAGGTTTTTAATTGATGAATTCATTGCTTAGTGGGAAGTATCCTTTTGAAGGGGTCACATTACCCAAGTGACTCATTTCAATTTATAAATAATAAATAAATAAAGATCCTGTGATGCCCTCGTTCAAATTCATTTTTCGAGGTGCGGACAGGCCTCTCAGAGGTTGCGTATGATGTAGCATACCTTTCATACTGAACACTGAATTATGCTAACTTTCTAATGCCATATTTATACTGCATGGAAGTATACAGCAAACATTTAAATAAATTAAATCCTAGGACCACTTCTCATGTCTGAATAGGTGAAATGGCATCGCAACTCAATATTAGGTCTAATTTAACCATACAATGCTGAATATGAATGTGCTTCAACAAAAAAACAGAAAACAATACAAATTGAATGAAAAAAAATGGCATGTGGGTTTTGGAGACTGTCGTTTTTATTTATTTACACATCTACAGCCAGCAGGACTGCTTGGTATGTCGCGTATCACACGTGTGCTGCACGTGTTGGAGAGTGGTAAATTTACTTCATCTTAGGGTTCCAAAGCATGCTGGCTGCCAGCACTATGAGGAGAGTAGAGTAGAGGGGCCGCGGGCCCTGTGGCCCTGGCAGGTCCCCGGAGAGTCTACATCCTTCATGTACCTCAGCAGCACTCTGCTCTTCTAACACTGTTTTGTATATTTCTCTGTACATTCCACTCATCCGTCTGTTAAACCCAACATGGGTTGGCTTCTCGCTTCCGCTGTGAATAAGCATCCTAACTAAAGACAAACGGAGAAAAAGAAAATCTACAATGAGAAGCATTCTCTGTGCGTAGTTGCCGGGACAGTTCCGCCTTCTGTGGAATCGGGTTTCCGTATCCGTACCCCAGCCCCATCCTCCGCAGCAGATTGCCTTCAGTGCCCATCAGTCTCAGCTCTCTGCTCCGGAGTTGTCCCTGCTGCTCGTTGCAGATCCAGATGCCAAAAGTTCATGCCACGCTGGAGCTTTCCGGTGCACTACCTCACAGAACTGCGACGGCAGTCTGTGCCAAACTGTGCCGGTGTTGATTTACACCCCATGGAGGCTCCAGCTGTGCTTGTCAAGTCGCGTTTCCCATACGGATGAATTTGGCACTTTTCTCCAAGGCATCTCCTCTGGCATAGGACTACTCAAATGACATGAGGTTGGTGGGGATCTAGCAGGGAGGGGAGAGTCGGCGTTAGAATTATTCTTGCCTTTCATAGCTACATGCTGTGGAACTGGAGATGACAGTTCTCTCTGTGTAGTTATTTTGACAGGTATGATGTGCTAATTGAGTGTCACAGACAGTTTGGGATAAAGGCAAACGGTCAGTTAGCATAAGAACAACCCGACTGTTATATGATGACTTTATAATACATTACAGTTACTTTATCCAAAGCATAGTTTGAAAAAACAGGGACAGCCAGTTCCTGCAGCGACTGGAAGTTAAGCCCCAGACAGTGAAATGACTGTCTCAGCCACAGGATCTGTATACATGACCAGATATGGGAAAGGATCTCTAAGCCACTAAGCTACACAGCACTCCCTACGTGTGTGGGTTGGCATTGTGATGAAAGGTGACTGAAAGCCTTCAGGTTCCTTGGATACCCTTAAAATATGAATCACGGCATCTCATGAGCAAAGCTTCATAACGTTCTGTGCCAGAAAGGTGCATCACAAGTGAAAGATTCAGTGCTGTTCAGCAACCTTGCATTTTTCTTGGAATGCTGTGAGACATCATACCAACATGACCGTTTTCTGCTAAACATCAGTCTGTTAAGAAATTATCACTCTTGGCCAGCTTCTGTATTACAGGCCTACAGACCAAAGACAAATGCAAACACCAAACAGCCGCTGATCACACATGCTTCTCGGTTAGCACTACATGTCCTGTTTGCACGTTTTTAACATTTCATTAGTGGTACTCCAGCTCTTAGCTGGGTGACGGCGCTCGAACCTGTGGCCGGCTGCTCCTGCAGGCCTCTTCCAGGTGCTTGTGCCAGATGATTGCAGAAAACCTCGATCCCGTCTGGAACTTGTAAACGTTCCCTGTGGAGGGAACAGGCTCAGACCTGTAGCCACCAGCATGCTAAACATGGACACTCATCTTTTGGACCGTGTTCGTTACTAAGAGTTCAATGTGATGGACCACCTTGATTCACTCTGACATGGACACAGCAAAGGCTCCAGAAATAGTGCTGTCCCCAGACTGGGACCTGTCCTATCTCACCTTTATCTGGGTCGTTCAGCTGGAAAATGTTGGGATGGTCTGGGTTGTCTGGCAGCACTGGCATCCAGCCAGTGATGGTTGTCTTTTTACAGGGCGTTGACTTGTACTGGAATTTTCCATACCATTTAAAAGCACATCAGCACACGACACAGCGACATGAACAGACATGCATGCTCTGTGAGTTATCAGTACTTCCCATGAAGCAGAGCCACAGCCTGACGCTCTGTCATGGCAAAAGCGCCTCGTCCTGTGGCTCATAACCACACAGAGGCGCTGGATGCACGGGCACTCACGTGTTTCCTCTCGGTGGGTCGCAGGGCTTTGGCCGCGAAATAGATGAGGGTGGAGCCGGACAGGGCGATCCAGTAGCGCGTCCAGGAGGATAGCTATGGGCACGGGAAGGAAGAGGGGGAAGAATAGAATAACCGTGACAGCTAACATTCGGCATGGATGTAACTTGTGTGAGAGTCTACTCAAGATATACTTCTGGGTCTCTACAGGGGAGGCAGCACTGGCTTCATTTCCCTAAAACATACAACTTGTAAATGCTTATCCTGGTCAGGGTGGCAGGGGGCCTGTAGTCTATCCCAGAAGGTGGTCAGATCTCACCCAATCACAGGACACTAAGCTAGGGTACACCCTGGACAGGATCCCAATCATTCACAGGGCACTAGGCAAGGGTACACCCTGGACAAGATCCGAGCCAATCACAGGGCACTAGGCAAGGGTACACCCTGGACAAGATCCGAGCCAATCACAGGGCACTAGGTAAGGGTACACCCTGGATAGAATCCCAGCCAATCACAGGGCACTAGGTAAGGGTACACCCTGGATAGAATCCCAGCCAATCACAGGGCACTAGGGTGGGGTATACCCTGGGCAGGATACGAGCCAATCACAGGGTACTACTAAACTGCAGAAAGTACCACCACACCACCATTATGTTGTTTATCCACAAGATCCCCTCTTAAAAGATGCCGTGGCTGCTATGCTGTACCTTTCTTCACCACCACTTCAGTGCATATCGCATTAAAGTATACCAAACATAATACAGTCAAACCTAGGATTGCAAGTAACTTAGTTTGCGAGTATTTTGTAAGACAGGCAAAAATTTAAAATAAATTTTAACTTGATAAACAAGCAAGGTCTTGCAATACGAGTATTACGTATACACTTTGTCTGATTGATATGGGTTGATCAGAAATTGTTATATTTATTGCAGATTAGAAAACTATTTACATGACAGCATCAGCATTGAGCTTCAGATCAGTGGTTTTGATCACGATAACAAACGAACTATATACAGAACAAGTTTTGCAACAATGAATACAACACATGCGGTTGCAATTATGAAGTAAAATGTAATGAACAAGAGTTTTCATCTCAACATAACTTTCTTTTTTTAACTTTTAATTTTTTTATGATCAGTGTGATTTCTTTTTTTTTTGGTTCTTTTTTATTTTTTTTATTTCCACACCAGGTATGTGTGAGTGTGTGTGAGTGAGTGAGTGAGTGAGT